CCCTCCAAAATACCACATTAAGACACCAAGACCTTGAGGAATAACAAATAAAAAGCCATGTTGTGATCTGGTAGGGCTTCCGTTCTGGAAACTGCTAACAAACACCCTTATTGTCAATATACCTAGGAAAGCCATACATCCTCTGAATGCCCCAGGTCTCTAGTTACTGGTTGTTATGAGGCTGTGAGTATTGTATAGGTCACTGCAGGTCATTTTAATAACCTGGTCTCACTATTTGAAATGAAAACTATGGGGTCTAACATCATCACACGTCAATACAATTGGGCTCATTCCCTCCTCAAGAGCTTTCCACTCGTACCCAATGTATGCAATTCCAAGACTGTTAAGGACAAATGACGTTAGAAGAGTGTTGGTGGAGAAGGTGGAAACCAATTTTTGATGAAAAGTAGGCTACACTCACTGCCTTGGCTGGTAAAGGCTGGATTTTAATATGCCGACGATTTAATGTTGTTTACATCGGAACAATTTCAACTTCCAAGTGCAAATGATGCTGTCGTAGACTCGTTTATCTTACAATATTGATCGATTTTTTTTCTTTTTTTCAAAGACCAATAAAGAAATGCTAAAATAAGAGATTTCAGTGAGTTATAGGAGCTAGTGGAACAACTACAACAGCTAACGATATAAATGTGCTTTTCTCTAATGGACAAAGATGCTTTAAACATTCCTTACCCTTATTTAATATGAACATTATACTCTGGATATATTTGAATATATTTGCTCATTGTGTGTAATTACTTTAAATTTATGTTTCTCATATATTTCTTGTGTGTATGTATGTTCATATCTATTAATATTCAACACATTTTTTTAACCTATGTACGGCCTATTTCAACATACTACCAGTTGCTGTTATTCTATTGAATCCTGATGCAACATTTCATCATTTTGCAGTATTTGATGTATATATTTTCTGCTGCGCAGTCTTAACCCACTTGTTTATATTACATTTTTCTTTCTTTTGCTTTATCTTATTACACCAAAGGCAGTGTGCCAACACCCCGACTGAAGAAAGCTCTCCAAAACCCCCAAGGGTTCAACAATTTTAATTTATAAAAACAGATTTTTATTTCTCAGTTTTGGAGCGATTACTCGCCTCCAGCATTTTCGCAGAAGCTTTTGCTTCCGTGGGAAAGTTTATTTTTGAGATTTCCTAAAAAGAGTTCAAAGCCAAAATGAATATCGAAATGTGTGGTTGTTGGCTGGTGAAGATTTCCATATTGTGCTGCATTTTGTTATGTTTCACTTTGCACTGCGGATAGCGTCCTCGCTGCAGGCAGGCCTAGGCTGGTGGGAGACTGGGAACACATATGGGTGCTGTCAGATGCTTTGACAGGCGACTCTGACAGGCCTGCAGTCAGTGCATTGTCCAACATTACAGAAGCCATCAATGCAGCAGTGCTTTTTGAATGTGCGTGTGTTATTCTTTTACGCATTTGTGGCACTTTCTGTTAGGACATGAATGTATTTAAGAGTTCCCACAGTATATGTGTGTGTGTGTGTGTGTGTGTGTGTGTGGGTGGAGTGCTGGAGTGTGTATTTTTCAGCTGTGTGGCTTCATCATAACCATGGTTTCGCTGTTTGTTATGACTGTCTACTGCTATGTTGCTGTCCAGCATCTCCGAGCAACGCACATACACACACACAGAGGCATGGACACACTGATGCAATAGCAAAAACTTTGACAGGAGGTATTTATCACTCAGTTTGCCTTTTAAACCAGGAGCGTGTGTGTGTGTTTTTTGTGTGTGTGTGTTTGTGTGGGGTAGATGGACGTGTCAAAAACTACAGGACTTTCACCCAGCACACCGTTGTTAGTGTCCCGTACAACCCAAATTCAATATGGACTTATTTCAAGTTAAGTACGCAAGTTAAGTACGTTATGTAAAGTTACGTAACTTAGCTTACTTAACTACAGAACAAACATAGGCTGCTTATTTTAACCCCAACCACAATATTTTACTAAACTCAGTGAAGTCATTTTGTTGCCCAAATCTAACCTAAGTTGTTTCCTGTGAACAAGGAAGTTTATTTTGAAAAGACAGTGAAAATTGATACATGCCGAACTAATTTTTTTATTTAATGTAATTTAACCAGGCGGTCCCTTAAGATTAAAATCTCTTTTACAAGGGAAACGTCCCGTCCATGTCTCCTACATGAATCATTAACTGGTGTGGATGCTAACTTTGTTTTGTCGGGGACATGCAGCTTTAGCATCAGCCTTTTAGCACGATATCATGTAGGTAGCCATCAAATTAATATTTTAGAACCTTTTTACATGATTCTCATTTTAAAGTGAGTCAGCTGTAAACATTTAAAAAGTTAGCAGGAAACAGCGTTTCCGACCAACTCCATGAGCTAATGTTAGCTTAATTAACTCGCTAGCTACAGCTGACACATCTCTTAGCAACAGCGTTTGTCTACCTCTGGCTGAAATAAAGGACCCATTGTTTCAAAAAATGACTGAGAATTTTGATGGTAAATTGGCCACAGTCTCACTGTTAACTGCATATGTGTTGCGTGAGGCCAGAGAGCTTGACAGGTGTAGCAACCGTTAGCTGAGCGAATGGTCAAGTCATCAAATTCTTTTAACATTTGCTTGAAAGTTGGCATTTTGGGAGATGTAGGAACTCACTGAATGACACAGACGAGGCTTAAGGCAAAGTGCATCCGTTAAAGAAAAGTAAAGAGAAAAAATTATTATGAGGTGGATACCAGACGCACTAAGTGGAAAGTTTTCCCCACAAAGGTCAGTCTCGATGACACCTTTAAAATTTAACGAAGGGATTTCCGTCGTGTATGTCTATTTTCCATGTGACAGAGGGGGGGGGGGGGGGGGCAGGTCTGATGATGTTATGGAGTCAAAAGGTCACAGTCAGAGGCTGCTGGACAGATGTGGACGAATGTGTTTTTGTTCTTTTTGGGGAAGAGGCCAGTCATTGTACGGCGCTTATCAACAATATCAATAATACATAACTTTTTTTAATTTTATATGTTCCATCCTTGTCTCTCTTTCCTCTCTCTTGAAATGTTTCGCGTTATCGTTTCTCTGACCGAACTTTTCTTCTTGTTGACCGCAACTTCGCCACGCCTTTGTGTTAATGCATGTGAGTGGATATCAGCTTCCATGGTGTTACACCCCTCTCACAACAGGTACATAGTGCCTTTAAAAGCTCTTTCTCCATGTGTGTGTTCTCCATGTGTGTGTATGTGAGAGAGAGAGATAGAGAGAGAGAGAGAGAGAGAGAGAGAGAGAGAGAGAGAGAGAGAG